GGTGCCTGAACAGGGATGTGGGACGCGAGGTTGATCTCTTGCTGGGATCAGGGATCCCAGTCTGGTGTTTTTCCTCCCGTGAATCCTTCCTGATAGTTCAGCAATGAGACATTGGCAGGGATTTTCCATTAGTGTGAAATTCTGCAAAAGAAATATTAGCTCGTGTATCCGCAGTGAGGAAAAAAATAAATAATGCTTAATAATATCCCTGCAGGGTGGAATAGAAATATGGCCACATGTAAAATAATGAGTCGGCAACCGCTTGGCTTTTCAGAGTGAGATGCACCAGTACAGCGAGGCCACCTAGACGTGTCTTTCCCCTCCAGCCATTGAATCAGTGGTAAAATTCAAAATGTTTTACTACCGGTTCTGTGGGCGTGGCTTGGTGGGCGTGGCAGGGGAAGGATACTGCCAAATCCCCATTCCCTCCCGATCAGCTGGGACTCTGGAGGCAGAGAATGGATAGGGGCGAGGCCAGCCAGAGGTGGTGTTTTCTGGTTCTCCGAACTACTCAAAATGTCCGCTACCAGTTCTCCAGAACCTGTCAGAACCTGCTGGATTTCACCCCTGCATTTAATGATTGACCCCCTGTGATGTAAAGTCCAGCCTTTGGGCGATTCCTTTCAAGGGGGCCGAAAGAGGCCAGTGCCCCCCCCCCCCAGCCATCTTTCTCTCTCGGCTGCTTGATGCTCTGATCCACAGATCAGAGGCTCTGAAACGCCGGTTGTCAACAAGAGGGCTGCCCAAGAATTAGCCCGAGAGCCAGAATATTGACAGGGAAATCTCTAATGAGTGAAAAATGATGAAACCCAGGAAAATCCAGGCTCTGTCAACAAACATGCATTTGTTATCTTTATTGGGAAGCCGAGATGCTGAACAGCCATTTCACTTCGCCCGCTTCAGTGGCGACGTTTTTCCATTAGGCAGAACACCAATCTTTGGCTTGGTTCCTGGGTTGTTGTGTAAGGTTTGTTCCAAGATGCTGTGTAGGAGGATTTAATCTAGGAAAAACCATCCCATTAAGAGCCGCTGCTCTTGTCCTCCCTTCCTTCTTGCTTGGCCCTGACTTTCCCTGCTTCTCTTCCTTGCTGATTGCCCTGCTGCAGGGTGGGTGCAGAGGGCTGGGGGTCTGGCCTGGAGGTCCACATCTCCTCCCTCCAGGGGGGCCTCGGCCTTCTGCAGCATTCCTTAGCCACCGGGAGCCACTGATAACCCACCAAGGAGGCCTCTCGGGGCTCTTGGTCATTGTATGGGCAGGTTAAGGCAGAAGCTTTCTCCCAGATCCTGATGAGGTTACCTAGTTGGGTAATGAAATGTCTGCAAGAAAACAACCAAGCTCAGAGGGCACCAAGCACCCCACAGGCTCTCTGAGTTTAGCTGAGAAACTAAAGGCAAGGAGTCAACGCCTGGACCGTTTTCTCCCCCATATTTAGTGCCAAGGGGAGGAGCCAGTGGTGGGTTCCTATTGGTGGTAGTTTGGCAGCCTGGGTCGCTGGAATCGACAGTGACCCAGGCCTGCCATGCCCCTGAACCGGTTCTCCAGTTCTACGATGGCACTGCCATCTTGTTTTTGGGTTCTGCGCATGCACAGAACAATTTTAACTGCACTGTGCATGTGCACACAGCATGCATGAAGCACGCACGAGCAAAGCGCACCCATGAGTAAACTGGCAGTAGTTCCACCCCTGGAGGAGGCCCCTTCCCCGTGAAGCAGCATAGACTCTATAGGTCTTTGTTCTGACCCCCCTCCTTGCTTGTTCACAAACGACAGTCAGACAGAACTTCAAAAGAAATATCTTTATCAGTCCTG